ATCTCCCAATAAAAACCTTAGGCACTTAACCTCTAATGAATTTCCCTGTACATAATATTTTGCACATGTTGTCACAACTCATTGCTGGAGTTGTGCATTCTGTGCACCTCCCCGGGTGGAAGACTTTGGAAGCTCGCACCCAGTTTCCTCCAGACTTTGCCCATGTACCTTTTTTTCTTTGCTAATTTTGCTTTGTCTTCTTTCTTTGTAATAAATCTTAGCCATAAGAACGACTATATTCCTAGTCCTGTGTGTCATCATCAAACTTGGGGGTATTCTTGAGGACACCCAACATAGGGGCCAACCACCATAGCTATCCTAAATGCAGTGCCACAACCAACCATCATCTTCAATTTCCCTAATTCCACGTCAGTCTCTTCTTCAATGGAAGGAACATGCAGAGCCATTCTCACATTTTGCAATATTCTTTTCACTTGTGTTTTGCTCAGTGATTTCTTCTATCAATTCAACACTTGCTGTCTTCCATATTTCAAGGATTCCTCAAAATTTCTGGCCCATTGAGGGCATTTCTTATCCTGCAGCGATGATGTGTATTTATTTTTTAAAAACTAAACTTCTCTGTCATCTCTAGAGATTTGGGATGTAGATAGGTAGGCAGGCACATTTTATCAGTCTGTAACCTGATCTCCTGTCCTCCTACTGTTTATTTGATACAATGGAAAGAAAGCATATTTCACTAGTACTATCAACCTATACTTGTGTTTTGTTTGCTTTCAATCCAATTTAGCAAGTATTTATTTAGGGGTTAGTCCCAAGAAAAGCCAAAGTATACAAGACATACCTACTCATGTATGTGAACATAAATATGTATATATGTGTGTATATATTCCTATGCCTGCTCAACTTTGATTTTTGTTAGGGTAAGTGTTTAATTACCACAAAACATTTTTGACACTAAAAATTGTAGCGTCAAAATAACTGGGATGTAGGGAAATAAGCATAAAAGCAAGATTAGTTATAGTTAAAGGAAGGGTTGTTTATTGGAGATGAAAAATTTGAAATTACAGTTATAGAAATATAAGCAACTCTGCAAATTCAAGTGAATTCAACACATACATTGAATGTCAGCTCCATTAGTAGATGCTATATAGATTTCAAGATGTCAACCAATGCTTTTTAATGTCTTTATAAATTAGGTCTGATCTAATATAGTATTACCACTAACCCTCCCAAATCAAGCACTTATGATAGATTATTATTATGTTATTATGAAAAAAATCTGTGAAAATAATACCTCCTCTAGCTTAAATCAATGCTGTCAAAAATATTTCAATTAACTGATTGTGGTGTTCTTTGTGGACTCTAAATCTAGACTACCCAGACAACCCATCAGGCTAACTGCAGATTTCTCAACTGAGACCTTACAAGCCAAAAGGGATTGGGGAATCCTTTTTCGTTTTTTTTTTTTTTTTTTTTTGAGACAGAGTCTTACTTTGTTGCCCGGGCTAGAGTGCCGTGGTGTCAGCCTAGCTCACAGCAACCTCAAACTCCTGGGCTCAAGCAATCCTTCTGCCTCAGCCTCCCAGGTAGCTGGGACTACAGGCATGTGTCACCATGCCCGGCTAATTTTTTCTATATTTTTTTAGTTGTCCAGCTAATTTCTTTCTATTTTTAGTAGAGATGGGGTCTCGCTCTTGCTCAGGCTGGTCTCGAACTCCTGAGCTCAAATGATCCACCTGCCTCGGCCTCCCAGAGTGCTAGGATTACAGGCGTGAGCCACTGCCCCTGGCTTCATCTTCAGTCTTCTTAAACAGAACAACTGCCAGCCTAGGATTTTGTATCCTGCAAAACTAAGTTTTATATATGAAGGAGAAATAAAGACTTTTCCAGGCAAGCAAACACTGAGGGAATTTGTAAAGACCAGACCTGCCCTGAAAGAAATATTCAGAACTGCATTATACATGGATCGGCACAATAGGCACCCACCAGAGTAAAATCACCCAAAAGCTAAAGCTCAGAACTCATATAAAACAACAGCACAAGAGATAAAATAAAGCAATAAGGTACTACCCAATAGGATAAACAAAACAGCATCCCACATATCAATTCTATCAATCAACATGAATGGTCTGAGTTCCCCACTGAAGAGACACAGCCTGGCTGAATGGATGAAAAAATACAACCCAATTATCTATCTGCTGTCTCCAGGAAACAAATCTAACCCACAAAAATTCATACAGACTCAAGGCGAAGGGATGGAAAAAAATATTCCATGCAAATGGAAACCAAAAGAAAGCAGGTGCAGCCATTCTCATATCAGATAAAATGGACCTTCAATCAACAATTAAAAGAAAGACAAAGATGGTCATTATGTAATGGTAAAAGGAACAATTCAACAAGACAACATAACAATGCTAAATATTTATGCATCTAACATAAGAGCGCCCAGATTCATAAAGCAAACCCTACTAGACCTAAGCAAAGAGATAAACCCCAGCAACATAATTGCCAAGGACTTCAACACCCCACTGACAGATCTAGACAGATCGTTCAAGCAGAAAATAAATAAACACTGGACTTAAATGGGACTCTAGAACAAAAGAGTCTAACAGACATTTACAGAACATTCTACCCAAAAGCTACTGAATATACATTCTTCTCCTCAGGACATTGAACATTCTCCAAGATTGATCATAATTTAGGCCACAAAAAAATATCTCAACAAATTCAAAAAAACAGAAATCATACCCTTAATGACCTATCCCAGAGAACAGTAAACAATTTTAAAATGAATAAATGAACTGTTTTAAGATCAATCAAACCACCTGTGCCCCTGACTCCGTCCCTCTCTCCTGTATGTGCAGGTTTCTCTTTTCTGGCTCCTAATCAGTTTATAAACTTGTTCAAGTCTTTCCAAGCCTAAAGCATTTCCTTTCTTGAATCCATAACCTCTTCTAATTACACTACAGTTTTCCTGCTTCTCTTCTCACCCAAACTTTCAAGAGTATATATACTTGCTATTTCTATTTCCTCAGCTCCCATCCAATCTTCAGTCCACTGCAATCTAGCTTCCAGCCTTACTATCACCAAACTGTGCTTGCTAAAGTTCCTGTGATACCCTAACTGCCAGATCCAATTAACAAGTTTTAGTATCTTACTTGAATCACTATTAACTTCCTTGATGTTTAGTTCTTTTTGTATATCTCTGATCATTTCTTTTTGACTTCTATATGAGTTCTTCCTTTTTAGTCTATTTCTCAAATTAACTTTTTTTTAATTCACAAAGTATTTATTTAGTACCTACCATGTACCAGAAACAACTGGGGATATAACAATAAATAAAATAAATGAAAATCTCTGTCTTCATGGAGCTTACATTCGTGATATTAGAATTCCCCAAGATTTTAATCCTTGGTCTCCAGCCTTTCTTATTCTGCACACTTTCTCTGAGTGTTCTCATTCATTCTCATGGGTCCAACTACCATAGATTAGTTAAGGGACTCCCTAATTTTTTTCTCCAATCTACACATTTCACATGAGTTTTATGCTGGATCTTCACTTGGACATAATCTAGGAATCTTGAACTGTAAATGTCCAAATCAGAACCTTTTGTCTCTTCCCTAAACAGGTGGTCATTCAGTGAGTGCTACTCAGCTACCTAAATCAGAAATTAACCTTGAATCTTTCCTCTCCTTTATCTACCATATCCATCCAATCACCATCACTTGCCGCATTTATCTTATTTCTCTAACATTCTCCTAACTGCTCTTTCTCCAGTCTTGCACCCTTTATATTTTCTCTTCAATAGCTGCCAGAATGATCTAAAATACAATCTCCATCCCTTACTTAAAAGCTGTAAAAAATTTTCTCATTACCTACAAGATAAAATCTATATCTTCATCATGGCATAAAAATTCCTCTGTGATCTGCCCTTGCTTAATTCTTCAATTTTCTGTTTGCTTTTCAATTTACTCTAGGATTTTGTTTGTTCACAGTATGGCATAATGATTAACATCATGGTCGGTGGAGCCAGGCTGCTTAGGTGTGACACTCAGCACTATCACATATTTACCTCAGTTTCCTCAACTGGGAAATGGTAACAATAATAGTCACTATTTTGTAAGATTATATAGAGGACTAAATGAGTTAAAACATGTGTGCTTACACCAGTTCCTGATACATATTAGCTACTATTAATATTACATCAGGCTACTTCAAATATTTCTGCCTTTGTTCACTCTACTTCCCCTTCTTTCTGGCCATATATTAGCCATGGACTCTATATAGTCTTCAAGTGTTTATAAGCTGGAATTTGATTTACTACCCACGAAATTGTTACCAATTACAACTTATTTCATGTTAGGGTTGGTGTCATAAGCAGGTATCCTCTTCAGCAACCTCTTTTAGAGGCTGTAAATATAGCTACTTCAATTGTTATATTGCTGTGGGTCAAAATGCAGATTCTGTACCACATCATTTAGGTGTAAAGGTGAGAGAGGAGTATGGATAACCCTCCAGTTTCACCGTGGATGACTAGAAAGCCAGGAGATACTGAAGAAGGCTCAAACGTTTGTTGATATACACGCTCACACAAAGTTGTAAATAGTTTTATTTCGTCCAAGTTTCCTACTGCCTAAATCAACATCACATCAGGCAAGCTCTCCTTTTTCCGCCAAATTTCCCCTTTCGGCCTCACCCACATATCAACCACAAAAATCCTCTACAGCCCCGTCTTCCCCTTCAAAAGAACAGCCAAGGCGAAATCGCTCGCCAAATCCGCCCTCCGGATTTCCCCGTCACCCTGGCAACGGAACCAGGAAGGGGCGGGCCTCGTTGTCGGTCGTTCCTGCCCGCGGCTGGCGCGGGCAGCACTGGTCACAGGACGTCCCTCAGCTCCGGGTTGGAGCCGGATTCGGATCCCGCGCAGATGGCCACGTCAACCTAAACCTACACCACTCTCCTCACCCGCCGCCGCCGCCGCTGCCGCGCCCGGCAGGCTTGCAGCAGGTCTCCTAGGCCGCGGTCTCCACGCCTTTCCCACAATGCCCCGCGCCAGGCCCCGCCCCGGCTCGCCGTGGAGACCGACGCGCGAGGAGGCTACCGGGGCCGGCCGCGCGTTTAACACTGCCGGTGCGGCTGGTCCTCCCCCATCCCGCGCGAGGCGGCCCGGCTGTTGCGGAGTGCGTGTTTCCGTCCCGCACTCACAGCTTGGGGTCGGACAGGCTGGGTCTGCCGCCGGGGCTCGAGGATGGGGGAGTAGCTGCAGGAAGCGACTCCGCGACACCAAGGTGGGCATGGGCCGGGGGCCAGCCACGGCTTTGCCGTAGCGGGCGGTGGCCTGGGCCCTCCGGGAAGGGCAGGGAGAAGCGTCTGCGCGCCTGGACCTCCCCTCCTCTGCGCTCCTAAGACCAGTATATTGTGTTCTCACTCCCCGTCATCTTCCTCCTTACCACCCTTCCTCTCAGCGGTTCCCCTTCAGTTACTCAGGCTCCCTTCTTCCTTAGTCCGGCCTGAGACTTCAGACACCAGCAACACTTGACAGTCCCATTCCCCGGTGTCTCCATCTTTCCCTTCTCCCCCATCCCACTCTGGAGTGATGAAACACGAAACCTTTCGCCTTGCATTTACCTGCAGCTTCCACCTGTCCCGCAGCTCAGGGCCCGGGGCAATTCAGCCACACCCACGCTGACTGAACAACCCCTAGGCAAGGAACATCTTATCCCAGAGTAGTGATAGAGAATATGTTCTCTTTTTTTTCTTATGCTTGTTTTCTAGTCTGGATATTTGTTAATCTCCATCATTATATTTTACAAAGGTGTACTTTTGTGGGATGAAAAGGAGGTATTAGAAATGAGCTGAAGACCATTTACAGGTAAGGAGAAATTTTTTTTAAATAGACATTTAGGATTAAATGAAGAAAGGAGAAACTGAGGGGGCTGTGAAAGTTAGACTTCCAAGCATTATGATATCTTTGAAACTAAAATACACGAGTTTAAATGTGGTATGTTGAAGTAATGATTGTTTTTACCCTGCGTAAGTGAGCATGTTTAATAACCATTTTCTTTTCTGTTTCTTTTCCTATTTCTGTTTATACCAAGCATGAACTTTGCAGTAAAATTACACTGTTAACTTACAATTATTATTCTACTATTATTCTCTACTTAAATTCAACTTAAGCACCTTCTGAGAGAATTCAGGGAAAAAGATGGACTGCTGTGTAGGTTGTCTATCATAACAATATAATTCACTGCCATTTTTGGCAAGGTTATATGGAAAGTAAAGATCCTTTATAAGGACGCTAAGCTTCTTTCTAGTCCCACCAAAGCACATTTCCTACAAGTGAAGTCTGATTGAAATGAAAACTGAAGCCTGAGAGGGTAAAGTAGCTAAAAAGTAAGTGTTAAAAAGGACAACGCTAAAACTGGGTAGAAAGAGGAAGGAAATATAAGTTATTCCCATCCTTGTGTTCTGATACTGATTAGAGACCTTTTCTCATTGTATAAGTTGCTGAATATGTATGTAAGCATTCTAGCTAGCTACGACCATCACTACCTTTTATCTGCTATCTTGAGTGATTTCACAAATCTGGCTACCTGGATATGGAAGCAGTGAAGGGGGCCCCCAAAGAATAGAGCCTGCATTCCCACTGATCTGCCATTTAATGGAGATTGCATCGCTGACCATGTTATTTGATAAACTGTGTCATTATCGTTTAGTTTGAAATATATTTTAACTGCCAGGTTTTCTCTCTTTAGATTAACATTTTTGGAGACAATTTTGTGATGCTTGATTCACCCTTGAAGTAATGTGGACAGAAATTCTCAAATTCACATATTATATCCACTGGAATGAGCAGTGTATCCTAATGTTCACTTGAACCAGAACTTGTATAAGAAAAAGAATGGGAGTCTGGTTGAACAAAAATGACTATATCAGAGACTTGAAAAGGATCATTCTCTGTTTTCTAATAGTGTATATGGCCATTTTAGTGGGCACAGATCAGGATTTTTACAGTTTACTTGGAGTATCTAAAACTGCAAGCAGTAGAGAAATAAGACAAGCTTTCAAGAAATTGGCATTGAAGTTACATCCTGATAAAAACCCGGTAGGTAAAAATTTGTTTTTAAAAATATCTGATTGCATTTTGGTATGTTTTGATATTTAAATTATTTTAGGTAAGTGTTCAAAATGATTAAGAACAACCACATGTCAAAATTACAATTCACTTTGTATGCTAGAAACAGAAGAAGCAAAATGTTTTGGTTTAGAATACAGTGTGAAGGATTATCAATACCAAAAATATAGTATCCTCTTAATTTGTAAACTAATTTCCAGCAGTTCTATTAAAGACATTAATCCCCCCAAAAACAATAATATCTGTGAAGTAGTTGAAGTAGTTTTCTTAGTAAAGTAGGTTAAGATTAAGTATTTTAGGACAATAGGAGAAAAAAATATTGCTTTAAAACTCAGAGAGTACAACATACTAAGAATGGCAGTAATAGCTAATAGTAGTATGCTTTTACTATTTTTTCCATATACAAGTCCACAGACCAGAATTAGTTATAAATTAAAACTTGAGAGCAGCTGAGTATAATTCCAATCATAAATATTTGAACGATAACAGCGTTAAATACTGTTATCTTTCAAAACTAGTTTTAATTTTTATGGTATTTTTATAATTTACCAAATTCTTTTTTAATGAGATTTGGCCAGCATTAACAAGGAGAATGACATGGTTAAGTTATAATTTTCTCTTTCTAGGTAGAATTTTTAAAATAGGATTATTTTATTTCAATTGTGTGAAGCTGAGCGATAGAAACAACATTTCTTTAAAACTCTTATTATCTTTCCTTGACATCTACATTCTGTTGTATTTAGAATTTTTTTCAAATTTTTCTTTAAAATTTTAAAATATTTTTAAGTTGTAAAAGATGGTGGATTTACATCCAAGTATTATTGAAATGAAAGCATTCTTCAAAAACCAATTCTATGAAACATAATAACAAAGAAGGGAGGCCAGGTTTGGTGGCTCACACCTGTAATCCTAACACTCTGGGAGGCTATGGTGGAAGGATTGCTTGAGCTCAGGAGTTCAAGACCAGCCTGAGCAAGAGCAAGACCCCATCTCTACTAAAAATAGAAAAATTAGCTGGCATGGTGGCATGTGCCTGTAGTCCCAGCTGCTCAGGAGGCTGAGGCAGGAGGATTGCTTGAGGCCAGGAGTTTGAGGTTGCAGTGAGCTGTGATGACACCACTGCACTCCAGCTGGGGCAACAAAGGGACACTCTGTCTCCAAAAAAAAAAAAATAACAAGGGAGAAACTTTTCCAATCCAATTTTGGATTGTTACTCTGCTGTGCGTTCTTATTTAATTATCTGGTAGTAGATTGGGGCACATGGTTTTTTTTAGTTAATATGCTGATTTTACTTCAAATAGAAAAATAGCCTACGTATCTATTCATAATTGTTTTAGGAGTAGCAAATATTATTGACAAAATTAAGAGTTTCAAAGGGTTTATCAGTTTTTTCTCAGCGCGTTTCTTAGAAGGAGTGACTTATGTTGTATGATCATTATCTGTCAACCTTTTGAAGAGTCAGTTCTTATTTCTGTTATTTTTCTCATTTTTTTTTTTGAAGATTGTAGTTCCTTAGAAAATACTTCTTTATTTCAACCTATGATAGCTGATATTATATTATAGTACCCCTCCTTCTGTTGGTATCTAGTCTCCCAGAAATTTCTGGATTCTACATAAAGGTTCCAAAGAGACTTGGATTGTGTATTTGAAATAACTGTATTATATCTAATAATTTTTAACAGAATAACCCAAATGCACATGGTGATTTTTTAAAAATAAATAGAGCATATGAAGTACTCAAAGATGAAGATCTACGAAAAAAGTATGACAAATATGGAGAAAAGGGACTTGAGGATAATCAAGGAGGCCAGTATGAAAGCTGGAACTATTATCGTTACGATTTTGGTAAGCTGTTAGGACACTTCTTATGAAATTGCTTTTTATCTGAGTAAAAGAAAAGTTAATTTTGTTTCACCACTTATGGATTTAATATGTGTCATTTTGACTAGCTTTTTTAAATTTGCCATGGGAATGAAATTCAAAAGGAAAATAAGTTGGTATATAGAGATTATCTGAATAGATATAAAAGTGTATTGGTCAGATCTTGTCAAATACTTTTAAAATAAGGATTACTATTTAATAAAAAAATACACAGTCAAGGCCTGTGTATCAACATTTCAGTCAACAGCAGACCACATATACATATATAACAGTGGTCCCATAAGATTATAGCATTTTTACTGTACCTTTTCTATGTTTAGATACACAGATACTTAGCATTGTGTTACAGTTGCCTACAGTATTCAGTCCAGTAGAATGCTGTGCAGGTTTGTAGCCTTGGAGCAATAGGCTATACCACATAGCCTAGGTGTGTAGTAGGCTATACCATCTAGGTTTATGTATGTACACCCTGTGATGTAAACACAACAAAATTGCCTAACAACACATTTCTCAGAACATATCCCCATCATTAGGTGATGAATGACTATATATGTTACCATTGGAAGTTATTAAATATTTCTTTCAATATTGCTAATATTGAATTAATATTAATTTCTTTCAGTATTTTTTAGAGCATCATATTTTCCAAGAAAGGCTAAACTTTCCTTTAATAGTGGTCACTTCAGTAGAAATGCCATCCTTCTCATATAGAACTCTTATTGATAATGTTTTAAGCTGTTGGCAGAAATAAGAAAGAAATAAGGCCAGAGCAGAAGGAGGAAACAAGTTAAAAGAACCAAGGGAGAGGGAAAGTAAAAAATATCAAGGCAGGAAGGTGAATTCAGAGAAACCATATTTCTCCTAGTCATTAACTAGCTGCAGATGCCAGCTAGAAACTGAGGTATGCTTTTATATTAGACTAAATAAAATATTTTAAATTTTTATCTGTAGGGTTTGCTTCTCAAGACTGATTTTTCTTTTCAAAGTAGTATTGTCAAGTATTTTCCCAACAGCTTCATAGTCTGTATTTAGAGTTGGCAAACTACATTTTATAGGCCAAATCTGGCTTGCCACTCAGCTTTTATAAATAAAGTTTTATTGGAATACAGTTATGCTCATTTGTTTACATATTATCTATGACTTCTTTCACACTTAGCAGATTTGAGTGGTTGTGACAGAAACCATACATCCTACAAAGCCTAAATATTTACTAATAGCCTCTACAGAAAAAGTTTGCTGACCTCTGGTCTATAGCCATCTAAATTAATATTATTTTGATATTTTGTATAATAATGAGAAACTTTCTCAGGTTGGTCTTAATTATTGTAAGCAAAATTTATATTTACTGAATGTTTCAACCTCTGCAAATATTCTAATTTTAAGATTTTTAGCAGAAGGTATTTTAAAGTGATACTACTTATTAAAAACCATATAATCTGAAAATTGGATGAGGTCTACAGTCTAGTTAACAATGTACCACTCTCAATTCCCTGGTTTTGATATTATACTATAGCTACATAACATGTCACTATAAGGGGAAGCTGGGTGAAGGGTACATGAGAATCTGTACCATTTTTGCAACTTCTTGAGTCTATAATTATTTTTGAATAAAAAGTTTAAAAACGTATAGTAGAAATTTTTTGTGGAGATGAAATTACGTGAATATTATAAATCCTCCCACACCTATAATAGTCCGTATCAGGATTCTAATATCTTTAGATCACTCTTTAAATATATCACCAGTAGTATTATTTACTTTTTTTTTTTTCTTAGTTTGTTGCATATTCTTCAAGTTTGGCATTTAGTATAAGCTGATTTTTTGATTAAAACAAAAATGAGTAGTATATTTTCATGTGGTAATTTATATTTATGGTGTAATTTTTATAATTTTTACGTACTTTTAAAATTAGGTATTTATGATGATGATCCTGAAATCATAACATTGGAAAGAAGAGAATTTGGTAAGTTTGTGGGCATATGATTTTCTTTTTACAAGTCCAGTCTCATCCAAAACTCTTGGGGGTAAATGTGTTTGGATTTAGAAATTGTTTGGATTTTAGACATGTATCGCATACTGTATATTAATTAATATTGCTAGAAGAATGTGGGGAAGTATACCACAATAAAAACATTAATATTTCTGCAGCAAAACGTGTAAGTATGTATACCAATTAAAAGAAGTAAAAATAACACATAGCGCCATATTTGTTCAGCTTTGGATGCCAAGTGAGCTTGCTATAAACTTGCAAAAAAACTTCTAATTTCAGAGCTTTTTGATTTCAAAGTTTTGAATAAGGATGTGGCTGGCTATTTTGGAAGCGGATTTTATTTGATCTGTGACTTGCATGAAAATGGATGTAAAAATACAGTTCTGCATTTTCCATTGCATTTTAGAAAATTATAAATACTAGCTTAGATTCTTACGCTTTCAGCCTTTGTACAGTGATAATAAAATAGGTTTATTCTTTCTTTTCCACTTGAAAGCAAATTTATATGTCAAATCAAATTTCAGTTGTATTTTGCTCTGTTACAGTCTTATTTCAAAAACTAAAATAGCACATCAGTTGCAATATATGTATGTAAAAATATTTTTCATGTATTAGCACCATTAAAGATTTATTGCAGCCACTTGATCTTGTATAGTTTGTTGCTTCTAAGTAAGGGTTGCATTATATTCTTACTTTCTACATCATGTTGGTGAGCTCAGGCATGCAGAATAGCTGTTCAATATGTAAATATTTCATTAGCCTGCTTGGTTGTGGGTCTCTTTCTATTACTTTGTTAGAAGTCTTGTATGTGAACACTTAAGCAAGTTCTAGGTGAATAGAAAATATATCTTCCCTAGTTAAGGAAACAGAAGAAAATTTGATTCATTTAGACTGTTGGTAGATAGAACTAATGCCCATGTCACAAGCTGGTGGAATCATAACTTTACTCCATGAGTTACATGAACCTATAGCTTTTCCTGTATGGTTGTTATTGTCTCCCATCTCCTAATACATCAGTGAATATTTCATGGACCCATGGGGCAGAAATCATTGGAATTATAAATAGAACTAGAGGAACCAAACAAAACCTGCACACTGACTAACCCATGAGTCCACCTAGAATAAGACATTACTGATAGTTATATTGTATATGGGTGCAAACTTTTTCAGATGTCCTGTGCAGAAAAGATTAAGAACTGCTAATCGTTCATATAGAACCCAAAATGGTAGTTTAAGATAAATTATATCCACAAAACTTTAGAGATAATTCAGAGATAATTAACTAATATCGATAGGTTTAATACCTATTTGCCACTGTTCTGTCTCATCTCTAATATTACTCTTCATATTACTAGGCTAAGACAAGATGATCCTGAAGTTTTAGTTGAAGAAGGAGAAGGAAAATGGCAAACAGTATCAATTTGTAGTTATGTAAATATTCTATTAACCTGCTTGGTCGTGGATCTCTTTCTATTACCAGTTGTTTGTATTGGTTTGAGTTACTTAGTCTTGTCTTCTGTAGAAATGATTATATAAATAATTATAGAGTTATTTTAAAGTTGTGTGTGTTCTCTTCTTCCAGCAAGGAGTTATGTTTTCTTCTAGCTAGAGTCAGTAACAATCTCAGATGCACTTTATCCAAACAAAGATTGAAATGATTCCAAAGCTGAGCTTTGGATCTTGAGAGGATGGATCACTTTCCAATTCATCTTTATTTACAGAACCCTTTTTTAGATGTGCCCTGAACTCCTTTTTTGTCCCTCTAGCTTCATGAATCTATTGAAAGCTCTGCTCAGTTTCTTGCTTTTCAACTACCTCTTCTAGAAGTGGCAAACATTGGCTCTTAAATTTCTACCTCCTCCCTCTTTGGCTTCCTAATGCTTCACTGCATTAACTCTTTGATGCTTTCAACAGAGGTCTTTTATATTTTGTCCAGTTTTCTAGTTGTTTGTATTGGAGAGTTAGTCTAAATTATATAGTTCACTTTTACCAGGAGTGAAACTCCAAAATGATGAACTTCAGTACAAAAGAGAAAATGTGATTCATAAACTCCACTTTCGGAGCTTTAAAAACGTTCTCATCCTTTATGTTAAACATGGTACAAATTGTCCTTTTATATGTCACAATGCAGTAGTAGATCAATTATTATAAACAAGTTCTAGATATTATTTGCAAAAGTAGCAGACATCCCACATGTATACAAGTCATTCTTAATAGACTCTGCATAACACAGGAATGCTTTCGAAGACAGCTTGAGAAAGAAGAACTCAAAACACTTCTGCCTTTTCTTACATTTTCCTGTACTAATAGCTGTAGTTGTACATACATTAACAAACATGAGCTGTAGTGTAGTTTCAGAGGTGAAAATTGCATTTTGAAATACACTCATTCTGTTTTGGGTAGACACTGAATTATGCAGAACATCCCATTGAGCTGTGATAATACAATATTAAAAATATTTTTAAACTTATTATTCAGCAATCAATGGGAATGGAGCAAATACGTTAGAAGTGCTCTATGAAAACAAAATACAGACATACATCATTTTATTGCACTTTGCTGTACTGCACTTCACAGATACTGTTGCTTTTTTACAAATTGAAGGTTGTGACAACTTTTCATCAAGCAAGTCTCCCAGTGCCATTTTTCCAACAGCATATGCTCATTTCATGTCTCTGTCACATTTTGGTAATTCTTCACAATATTTCAGACTTTTTCATTATTATGTCTGTTATGGTCATCTGCAATCAGTGATCTTTGATATTACTATGGTAATTGTTTGGGTGGCACCATGAACTCTGCCTATAAGATGGCAAACTTAATTGATAAATGTTGTGTGTATTCTGACTGCTCTACCACCTGGCCTTTCCCTGTTTCTCTCCCCTTCCTCGGGCCTACCTATTCCCTGAGACACAACAATATTAAAATTGGGTCAACTAATAACCCTACATAGCCTCTAAGTGTTCAAGTGAAAGGAACAGTTGCATATCTCTCACTTTAAATTGAAAGCTAGAAATTATTTAAGGTTAGTAAGGAAGGCATGTAGAAACCCAAGATAGGCTGAAAGGTAGGCCTCTTATGCCAAATAACCAAGTTGTGAATGCAAAGGAAAAGTTCTTGAAGGAAATTAAAAGTGCAGCTTCAGTGAACATACTAATGATAAAAAAGCAAAACAGCCATATTGCTGATATGGAAAAGGTTTCAGTGGTCTGGGTAGAAGATCAAGGCAGCCACAATATTTCCTTAAGCCAAAGACTAATCCAGAGAAAGGCCGTAGCTCTGTTCAATTTTATGAAGACTGAGAAAGGTGAGAAAGCTGCAGAAGAAAAGTTGGAGACTAGCAGAGGTTGCTTTATGAGCATGAAGGAAATAACCCATCTTCATAACATAAAAGTGCATAGTGAAGCAGCAAGTGCTATTTTAGAAGCTGCGGCAAGTTATCCAGAAGATCTAGCTAAGATCATTGATAAAGATATCTACACTAAACAAATTTTCAATGTAGATGAAATAGCCTTCTATTGGAAAAAGATGCTATTTAGGACTTTCATATCTAGAAAAGAGAAGTCAAAGTCTAGCTTCAAAGCTTCAAAGGATAGGCTGACTGTCTTGTTAGAAGCCAGTGCAGCTGATGACTTTAAGTTGAGGCCAGTGCTCATTTGCCATTCTGAAAATCCTAGAGCCCTTAAAAGTTATGCTAAATCTACTCTTCCCGTGCTCTATAAATGGAACAACAAAGCCTGGATGACTGTACATCTGTTTACAGCAAGATTTACTAAATATCGTAAGCCCACTGCTGAGACCTCCTACTCAGAAAAAAAAATTGTTTTGAAAATATTATTGCTCATTGACTATGTACCTAGTCACCCAAGAGCTCTAATAGAGATGTAGAAGGAGATTAATGTTATTTTCATACCTGCTGACAATATCCATTCTGCAACCTATGAATGAGGAGTAATTTTGACTTTGAACTTTCAAATCTTTTTAAAAAATACATTTTATAAGGCTATAGCTGCCATAGATAGTGATTCCTTGGATAGATCTGGGCAAATTAAATTGAAAACCTTTTGGAAAGGATTCATCCTTGTAGGTGCCATTAAGGGCATTCATGATTCATCAAAGTCAAAATATCAACATCAACAGGAAGATGCTGATTCCAACCTTCATCGATGACTTTGAGGGCTTCAAGACTTTGGTGAAAGAAGTAACTGTTGATGTGATAGAAATAGCAAGAGAACTAGAATTAGAATTGGAGCCTGAAGGTGTGACTGAATTGCTGCTATCTCATGGTAAAACTTCAACAGATAAGGAGTTGCTTCTTATAGATGACCAAAGATAGTGGTTTCCTGAAATGGAATCTACTCCTGTTGAAGATACTGTGAACATTGTTGAAATGACAAGAAAGGATTTAAAATAGTACATAAACTTAGTTGATAAAGCATCAGCAGAGTTTGAGAGGATTGACTTCAGTTTTTAAAGAAGTTCTGTGGATCAAATGCTATCAAACAGCATCATATGGTATAGAGAAATCTTCTATTAAAGGAAAAGTCAATCAGTGTGTTCAACTTCATCGTTGTCTTATTTTAAGAAATTGCCACAGCCCCATCCCAACTGTCAGCAACCACCACCCTGATCCATCAACATACAGGCAAGACCTTCCACCAGCAAAAAGATAATAACTTGCTGAAAGGCTCAAATGATCATTATCATTTTTTACAATAAAATACTTTTAAGGTATGTACACTGTCTTTTTAGATATAATATTATTGCACAGCTAATAGATTACAATATAGTGTAAACATAAATTTTATATGCACTGAGAAACCAAAAAATTTGTGCGACTTTATTGTGATATTTGCTTTATAACTGTAGTCTGGAGCTGAACCCACAATACCTCCGAGGTATACCTGTGCCAAGATGGGAGGTGTTCTCATAGTAAACAGGGTTTTGTGTCAAATGCCATTCAGATTGGTTTT